TCTGGATCCTGCATAAGGAAAAGAAAGTTTTAAGAAATAACCTCAGAGCAACAAAACTTGACAAGGAAAATATCAGTTATTGCAAATTAACAAATAACTGGAAATATTTTTTCAGAGTAATCCAGAAACTCAGATTTTAATACTAGTGCATTAGGACTTTCCAAAAATATGCTAAATCAGCAGAACATTTCCAGCAAATATTCCCTAAGATAACTTATAACCAAGAAGCCTAATCTATAGCAAGGGATTCAACTCCCAAAGGAAAAAATACTCCCTATAAATGAGTATACTTTCATGATGCAGACGATACTCATTTTGCTGTTATGGTCAATGGTGGCCCTTCATCATTTTTCACTGCCTCCAAAGGTTTAAGACAGGGTGACCCTCTCTCCCCTTTGCTCTTTATTTTAACAACAAAAGCTTTGAATAAATTGCTATTACAGGCCAGAGCACCCAATCTTATCAAAGGTATCATTCTTGGGCATGCGGGGAAAATGGAGATCTCGCACCTATTCTTTGCCAACGATACTTTACTTTTCTGCCAACCAGACATCAGTACTCTTCTTCATTTAAGGGTATTCTTCTCTGTTTTCAAGCGGTGTCCGGTCTGTGCATCAATTTGGCAAAATCTGAGCTGGTCGGTTTGGGTCCTAACACCAATACAGAGTCATTAGCCTGGGTATTAAATTGCAAAGTGTCACAGCTCCCTATTAAATATCTTGGAGCTCCGCTTGGTGCTAACTATAAAGACAGTGCTATGTGGGATCCGGTTATCAATATTTTCGAAAAAAGACTTGCAATTTGGAAGAGGAATTTCCTCTCCAAAAGTGGGAGACTTACCCTCATAAAAAGTACATTCGCCAACCTCCCAACATACTAACTATCTGTCCTCACTATTCCGGCCAATGTTGCTAACAGATTAGAAAAAATCCAACGCAATTTTCTGTGGGCCAGCAAGGAAAATAGAAGGAAATTCCATCCTGTAAAATGAACGGATGTAAAACTGCCCAAAAATCAAGGGGTACTCGGCCTTAGGTCGCTAACCATTATGAATAAAGCCCTACATGGCAAATGGATTTGGAGATTTTGGAATGAAGGTGACAATTTGTGGAAAAAAATTGTTGACTGCAAATGGAACATCAGTCGAAATTTTCCGCACTGTAGGGAGGCTATAACACTTATGGAAAAAGCTTATAGAGAGGCATCTCTTGCATCAACAACTTGGCACTGGATTGCTCATCTTGGGCTGTTGGCAGAGGTAATAAATCTAAATTCTGGACTGACAAATGATGTGGTTCTTCCAAGCTTCGACATCAATTCCCTCTCATTTTTGCAATTGCTCAAGATAAGAATGTTTTGGTTGAGAATGCTTTTGACAGTGTTAACAGTGGCGGCTGGAATATCACGGTTTCTAGGAACTTGGAGGATTGGGAAATTGTTGAATATGAAAGCTTATCAACTCTCTTATCTGCAATTAAGCTCAGTGATATCGATGTCAAACTTCACTGGACAAGCGGTAATAACGGTATATTCTCGGTCAAATCCTTCTACCAATATCTGACCCCATACAATAGAATTAGTTGTCTGGATTTCCCTACAAAATTGATCTGGAACAGCACTGCCCCTCCTCGAGTCTCTTTTTTCACATGGGAAGCTGTCTTTGACAGAAAGGATTCTCACCCTTGATAACCTCATGAAAAGAGGTATTATTCTGTCTAACAGATGCTTTCTGTGTAAAGTAGATGCCGAGTCCTGTAATAACCTCCTACTACATTGTCCTTTCTCCCGTCAACTTTGGTCCATGGTTTTGGGGTTACTTAGCATTAGCTAGAGTACTGCGCGCTCAATACAAAGAGAACTAAATGCTTGGGAATTTTTATGCAAATGAAACAAGAATTATCGTCTTATCCCTCTTACAATTTTTGGATTCTTTGGAAAGAATGAAACAACCGTGCTTTTGAAGGCAAAGAGAGTCATTTTGGAAACATCAAGGACAAATGGTTTCACTTTTTTGGGTCCACCTTATTAGGACATCACCTTTGTAACCTTGATGATTTTGGTTTTATTATAGATATGCTCTTAGATTTGTAAATCTTTTGTACATGGGCAGCACCTCCTTGGTGCCTACACTAATATATTTCCCTACTCTTTTATCTCAAAAAAAATATATACTTTCATGATGCAGAACCTATTGGCTCTTCCCATTGTTTCAGATTTGAATAATTTGTAATCCCTCAATCTGACCATAATCTAAACCCCAATATTCTCGTTGATCAATTACACATACGAAATCCTCTATCCCAACTGCAGTCAGTCTACATGTCAAAAAATCCGACATTTAAGTGAATTTCCTTTTTTTTTTAAAAAAAAGGTGTTGAACCCGGACAGATATAAGCTCAAATGTCCTTTATTTAAAGAGCTTGAAAGCTACACAGGGACCAGACCATTTGAAGAACCCAAAAGATTATCACACCAGAAACAGAGACATGAAAATGAATTATATAAAACAAAATATAAATACGAAAACAACATTATTGTCCCTTAAACAAAAAGCTCCAAACCTTTTCTTGTAGCCTCTGCAACTGCTCCTTGTGCTCTTTTGCTACTTTCTTAGATTTCGACATCGTCTGTACTTTCTCGTCTGCCTCCTCCTCTATTGCATAAATCATTCACCCCTTCTAAAGCCTTTAACTGAAAATTCCAATAAACCCTAAACAAAAACAATAAAGAAAAAACACAGTGAAGTTCACGTGCAACCAAGAAATTTACCTGAAATGAAGACGTCGCAAAACAGCGCCTGGAGGCGAAATTGATGCAAGATAGCAGCTTGACGAAGCTTCAGCAACTGAGCTTACAACTCGACTGAAAAGATAACAGAATCGCCATCCTCAAGTATTGAAATAAGTATTGACTCGTCTAAGTTTCAGAGAGATGCTTACCTTTTTCTCTGCTGTATCGAGTTTATGCTCCATGGTAGTGAGCTTAGAGAGGAGTTAGGGTTTTCTGTAACAAGACATGCTTAATTGGGTTATTTTGGATATTTCGTTTTGACCCGTCTGAGAAGTCGGGTTCGCGTCGGGCTTAATTTATGCGGATCATCCGAACCGATCCAGAATCCACGACCCGGGTCTTCCTCCACACGGTCAAGGCCCATTTGAATTTAACTGGGCTTTCTGATTCCGCTTGTAACAATAGCCCGGCCCATAAGCTGCTTAATTGGGCTTACCAAAGCATTGGGGTCTAAATTTTCGCGGTAGAAATAAATATTATCGAATAATATATTTTACTTATTAATTATATTATAATTATTTTTTTTACCAGTTTAATTTTTGAGAATATAAAATTATTTTAAATATAATAATATAAAATTTAAATATTTTTATCTTATTTAAAATACATAAAAATTTAACTTATGAATCGCTCGGATTAATTATCATTCTTATTTTACAAATATTTTTCCTAAATACATAAAATATTATCCTTATTTTTACCTCTTAATTATTATTCCTTAAGGAATAAGATTCTTGAAATACATGAAGAGAATTAATAACCATTAAATGTTCTACTTAATTTCATACCTCATTTTCAATATAATTGAAAAATATCGGATTTTCTTCTTTTTATTTGAGTAACCGCCATATCTGCCAAAATGGAAAAACAATTATTACACTACCCAATTTTGTAATTAATACTTTTGACATTTTTTAAATTCATGAATAAACAATGATATTATAGAAAGAAAGTTTCATCCCACCGACCTAAAAAAAAAACATTATAAATATGTGATATAAACCTTAGCCGTCTTCCATCAAAACCTGTTTTCTCTTCATTTTGCTTTATTGTTTTCCTGTGTTCTTTGCGAGCCTCTCAATCATTTCCATGGCGGCGAACTTCAAGTCCTCTTTTTCTCTTAACTCCAACTCAATCTCGTCCCATCCTAATTATCATGTTAATGGTGTTGACAACAACATGAATTGCTTCTTCAACTCAGGCAGCCAAAGCAGCCTTCTGAGATCCAATGTTAATTACCATGTTAACCAAAGGAATATCATGGCGAATTCCCGGTTCAATTTTACCAATTCCTCAACCAGGTTTACCCAAAATCCTATCCTTTTCCCGAAAAACAATCTCGGTGTTGGCCAAACTGGGATAATCAATCAAATGATGGGGCAGGATATGGGGAGAATCTTTGATTCCTACCCAACAAGGGTCCATATTCAAAATTACATTGATCGTGTCCCTCTCCAAAACCAACCAGACATTGCTGAGGTCTTTGTAACTGAAGTTGTGCGGAAAAGTTTTCTCACTTCAAATCCTGCTGAATTGCAGCTTTCTGTACCATCTTTCAATAACTTGATCGGGTATCAACAACCCCTAGGAGCTTACTCCAATATCGAAAACCAGCTGACCGGTATCACCATGCCAAACCCAATGATGCTTGCTAGAAACGTTAATAGTTTTCCTGTTACTCATCATTATCCTCACAACTTCTCACCAAATTCATCCCCCTTTAATTATCCAAATGATAGGGACCTTTTCAGGATGAAAAATAAAATTTTGATTGCTCAATCATTGAGCAATGGTGTATTTGGTAACAACAACAACATTCTAAATGCTCAACCATTGAAGATCTTGCCAACTTTATCACGCATGAGTGCAAACTCTATCAGAGATGGTTCCCAACAAACAAGAGTTCCGAACAACCCAGATGGAGATCATCATCAATCTAAAAGTGATGTTGATGAGAGTTATGATGGGGTGACTCATAGCCTCCCTTGCAACAAGTATGGTCCATACACATGCCCTAAGTGTAAGGAAGTGTTCAATACATCGCTGCTTTTTGCGACTCATGTTTTAAGAGCTCACTATAAATATGAAACTAGTGAGGAGAGGCAAATGAGAAAGGCTGCAAAGAATAGGAACAAGAAGCCTCGAAGACTTCACATTATTAACACTCCTAATGGACTTACTGTCGCGCCAAAGAAATTCAAGGCAACATGGATGAACTATTTTGATGTCAGAACCCCTGGTGGTGGTGGTCAAGCTTTTGAGAATACAGTTGGTGTGAAGATTAAAGAAGATATTATCAGCCCGAATGAGAACGCTTCTCCAATTGTTGCTGTTAAAAAAGAAGTAACTGACAACTAAGTTGATGAGTTTTCTCTTATAGAGATATCTGAAAAGTAAATCATATATCTAGTTTTTAATTCCAAAAGATGATGCTCAAATAATGTATATATGAAACCAATAAATAAATGTGATTTTAGCCTATATGCGAATCTCTCTTAATGATGTGAATTAATGCACGCTTGTTTTTTTTTCTTTATATGTTATAAGATTTATGTTTAAATCATGAATTATTGTTTACAATGCACAAATCATGGCGAAGAAGAGTCATAAATATGCCTCATATTGCATTTGAAGTTATATACTAGTACAAAATCTAAGGCTAGATATGTCAAATAAACAAACTGTTTTATTATGCTAGTAATCATGTGGACTCATCAATATTTTATGTCATGTAGGTAACTTTACATCAATTTTTTAAATATCGTACGATCTATCAAATTAAAAAAACTTCATAAAAAATCTTTGATTCACTGACAGTTGGTATGTTGTATTTTACATTTTGATCTATTTTAGATCTTATCGTTTACTATAAAATTATCAAAAAAAGATAAGGATTAAATCAATTTCTCACCCCTAAAGACACTAAATAAAACCAAACCACATTAAAGAATCAACAACAATAATTAAATTGGGGAGAAATTGATAATGTCATAATAGGCAGAAAAAAAAAATTTGTTTGGTCGTTGACAGCTTAAAAGCTACAAGACAACATAATAAATGAAGCTGTCATAAATATTGAAATTTTTTGGGAAGAAAAATACACCAGACTTCAAAACTAAATCTTCAAAAACAATAAAATTAGCCTGCAGTGCTTTTCTTTTGGCAAAAAAAAAAAAAGACTCCAAATTAATTTGCTCGTTAGAAATGAGTAATTCAAATAAATTCAATGAATTCTACAATTTAGATATTCGTATAAATTGAACAAAATTAAAATTTAAATACATAATGATTATAACAAGGGTGAAGTCGTACCAATGGAAGTAGGTAATGATGCATAGATTAGATCTTCACAAACATGAAAAAGAATGCTTCCATGTGTAATCTCCTCTTGTAACTCTTCCTTTAGTCACGATATCTGCAAATTGATTTGTTTCTAAAAGAGTATGAAGAAACTAGACTTAATGCAAAATATTAGACAAATTGTGGATTTTTTTTCTCCCTAAATGAATACTGTATATTATTATCATTCAAAAAAAATATTCAAGAAATAGCGACTCATCTGGCCACTTTCCACAATTAAAGAAAAATCCACCATAGCTAATAGATAAAAGAATATTCATTTATATCAATATTGACACACTAGAAAGAATAGAAAACATTTTAGAATAATATTCACTTTAGATGTAGTACTTGTGTTATAGTCTAATTTCTTATACTCAATTTTTCAATTTATATTAAAAAATCAAAATAAATGATAAAATCATGAAAAAAATTATCTCAATTAAAAATTTTAAAATCTTTAAATATGCCAAATTAAATCTTGGGACTAAACTTTTTAAAAGAAAAAATTAAGGAAATTCAACCTCGTTCTTATTATCTAAGTGCAATATAGTTTGTGCTTGTAATTCTCTTTAAGGTTTATTTCTATATGATTTTCAAGTCCATTCAAACTTAAGCTACATGATGTTGTTGCTCGTAAAGAACAAAAGAAGAAAACCTGACTAAGGGATATATAAACTTTTAGTCTATAAGCTTCTGAGGTAAAAATTGAATTTTTATTGACTACTCATGCAAGGAGATTGATGATATGGTAAGAAAAGACAAGAAATACAAGGATATGGTGATATGACCTGCGATATACAATGAATTACTAAAAAAAAATGTAACATTGATGGCACCATTTTGACATTGTAAATGAGGTTCTCACAACGAATAATAGCCAGAGAAATGAAATTTGAACAAGCAGCTAGAATGGAGGAAATCGGACTATAGAGGGCGCCAACTAAGGTTATATATGGAAGAAGAGATAAGAAAAAAGAGAGACCAAAATCCTTAGAGCAAGAAAACAATGATGGGAGAAGGAAGGAGGAAACTTAGCTATAATAACAAGTATAAGAAATAATATAAGATACCAATTTGTACTGATTAATATACATGAACAAGAAGTCATAATTTAAGCAAGATGTCCTATTGTGGTACAATCTTAAAGTGGGCAACATTGTAAAAATGAACAAGGGTCTTATCACAAAGTAGGACAGAAGAAGAAAATCATTGAACAACAATCAAATTATCAAAGAAAAGGTAAAATGGTGGTGAAATTAAATTAGCAGTTCTCTTTCAAAGACTTCATTTTAGTGACAACAGGGGAAAGAGGGCAGAGCTTCCATGAACTTCAACCTGAAAAAATTGAACAGTGAAATGCAAAACAAGTAAAAGAACTAAAGCAGTTCTTCAGTTATGAACTCAAGCAAACTAATCACTCGAATTTAGAGCCATATATATTAATTTCATTAAGATAACTTATAACCAAGAACCAAATCTATAGCCACGGAATTCAACTTCTAAAGGAAAAAGTACTCTTTATAAATGAGTATACTTTCATGGTTAAAAACCTATTGGCTCTTCCTTTTGTTTCAAATTTAAATAATTTGTAATCCCTCAATTTGACCATAATCTGAACCTTAACATCCTCATTGATCAATTATACATAAGGCATCATTTACCAGATTTGTAGTCAGTATATGTCACAAATTCCCACAATAAAATGAATTAGAAAAAACAAAGGTGTTGAACCCAGACAGATATAAGCTCAATTCTCCTATATTTGAAGAGCTTGAAAGTTAAACATGGACCAGACCAGTAGAAGAACCCAAAAGATTAGCAAATCAGAAACAGAGACATGAAAATGAATTAAAACAAAATATAAGTTGGAGAAATGCTCCTCCAATTGTTGTTGCTAAAGGAGAAGTAATCAATGATTAGGTTAGCAAGTTTTCTCTTGTAAAGATGTCAGAAAAGTAAATCAAATATTTGATCTTTAATTCCAAAAGACCGGTACTCAAATAAAATATATATGAAATCATAAATGTAGTTTTAGTCCATAGCTGAATCTCTCTTAATGATGTAAATTAATAGATGCTTGTTTTTATTTTCTTTATATATTATAAGATTATGCTTAAATCATGAATTATTGTTCATAATGCACAAATCCTACTGAAGAATGGTCATATATATGTCTCATATTGCATCTGAAGTTATATTCTACTACAAAATCTAAAATTAGATATGCCAAATAAATAGACCGTCTCCTCATGCTAGTAATCATGTGCACTCATTAATCTTCTATGTCATGTAGGTAACTTTACACAAAATAGATAAATATCGTGTGATCTATTAAATTGAAAATTCCACATAGAACCTTTGATCCATTGACAGTTGGTGTGTTGTATTTTATATTTTGATGCATTTTAAATCTTATAGTTTATTATAGAATTGTCAAAAAATAGATAGGGATTAAATAAATTTCTCGCCCCGACAGACATTAAATAAAACTAGACCATATACATTTATACCTATTGTGTATGAAAATATTGAAAGCTTTTATATTAAAGAATCAACAACGACAATTAAACTGGTGAGAAACTGAAAACGTCACAGTAGACAGAAAACAAAATAGATTTGATTGTTGACAACTTAAAAGTTACAAGACAACATTAAAAATGAAGCTGTCATAACATATAGAAAATTTAGGCAAGAAAAATACACAAGATATTTATTCGATAATTTGGGTAATTTCCTACTTCCTGGGTTACTCTTCTAGTTCTTGAGGGCTTCGAGAGAAACACAAGATCTTTAAGGATCACTTCTTGATTTTTTGCTTATTTGATATTGATGGTTTTTCGTTCATCTCTTTGGGCTAAGCAACAAAGGTCCTTCTAAAGACATTTCTTTGTCCATCTTACATAGAAATGTCCTGACTATCCTCCATTCAGCTGTTTTTCTCTTTGGTGTTTGAGGGCCTTTCTCCTTTAATTTGCTTGCTCTTTCTCCTTTGGAGGACATCTACTCCTCCCCTGATACTTTCTCTTTCTTTCTAGTGTCTTTTTTATTTTTTTTCTTTTTAAAAAAGTTCATTATCTCATTTTCCCACAATTACCTCCAGCTTCACCTCCAATAAATTCTGGGAAAGCCCCAAAAGTACCTGGCTTAACAATAATTTTAGCTGTGATTATACTGAAATTTTAGGTCTTAAAGCAAGAAGTCAGAACTTGTCCGCACTCAAAAAATAAGAGAAAAAATTGCCTCAATGTGTCTAAACATGTCTTTCTCTGTGAGGTAGACAAACAGGTGGCAAATGCATGAACATATTTCAAACACATATACACACATACACACATACACACGTAAACATACACAGAGAGAGAGAGAGAGAGAGATGACAAAGGAAGTCCTCTTATATAGGTATTCAGATCTTTTGGAATTTCAAGACCCAGTGAGGAACTTAATAGATTGAGCATTTAAACAAACTCCTTTTATTTTTGCTTACAGATCCAAACAGGTAGATAAACTTCCATTAAAGGTAATTCCAGATCAAACAGCCAATTAACATCACAATATCATCAATTTCCTTTAGACATTTCACTATTATAAGAATAGTGATCTTTAGCACAAGAAAGCCTTCAACTATAAAGCCAGTTTATATACAACTAGTAAAGCATTCGTGACAAAAGAAAAGATTACTTGATATCTTCTCTAAAAGTGCAAACACTTCTCTACTAGTTGGAAACTTTCAAAAATATCATCTTACAACAAACAGGTTAAGGAATATTAACATGAAGTCATAATTTAAGCAAGGCAACCTCTCGTGGTACAATCTTAAAGCGGACAACGCTGAAAAATTGAACAAACAGTTTTATCACCAAGAAGGACAGAACAGGAGAATCCTGGAACAACAATCAAAAAAGCAAATAGAAGGGAAGATGGGGGTGAAATTAACTTAGCAGTTCTTTCAAGAACTTTAGTTCAGTGAAAACAGGAGAAAATGACAGAGTTGCCATGAAATTGAACCTGAAAAATTTGAACAGAGACATGCGAAACAAGCAAAAGAATCAAAGCAGTTCTTCAGTCTATGAATTCAACTATACTAGTCACCCGAGTCTAGATCCATATATTAATTTCCTTAAGATAACTTATAACCAAGAAGCATAATCTATAGCCAAGGGATTCAACTCCCAGAGGAAAAAATACTCCCTATAAATGAGTATACTTTCATGATGCAGAACCTATGGGCTCTTACCCTTGTTTCAGATTCAAATAATTTGTAATCCCTCAATCCGACCATAATCTAAATCCCAATATTCTCATTGATCAATTACACATACGACATCCTCTACCCCAATTTCAGTCAGATTATATGTCAAAAAATCCCATACTAAGATGAATTTATAAAAAAAAGGTGTTGAACCGGGACAGATATAAGTTCAAATGTCCTTTAACTTGAAGAGCTTGAGAGCTACACAGGGACCAGACCAGTTGAAGAACCCAAAAGATTACTACACCAGAAACAGAGACATGAAAATGAATTATATAAAACAAAATATAAATACAAAACGACATTATTGTCACTTAAACAAAAAGCTCCTAACCTTTTCTTGTAGCCTGTGTAACTGCTCCTTGTGCTCTTTTGCTAATTTCCTAGATTTTAACATCGTCTGTATTTTGTTGTCCACCTCCTCCTCTATTTCACTTAGTCATTCATCCCCTCTAAACCCCTTCACCGAAAATTCCAGTAAACCCTAAACAAAAACAAAATTGAAAAAAACACAGTAAAGGAAAGTTGACGTGCAACTAAAAACTATACCAGACATGATTACGAGACAAACAGCGGTCGGAGGTTATGACTTCGCAAAGCTTAAAATAGCTTGGTCCCATCAAGCGAACTACCCACATAATGAACTGCACCCAGTTAATCAATTAACCATTTTTATCCAATTTCACAGTAAATCCACAAGTCTAAAAAGCATAAAATAGCTTCCTATTCATACGAAAAACACAGAAACGAGAAATATGTATATAGCAATTAATTCTTTCGTTTGTCTTCCTATGTGTATACAGGCAAGTTTAAATGCGGAGACCAATAACCTCGTCGCCAAATTCCCTTGTTCCTCACTCTGCAACCATTCCCTTTCAGTACCGCCGATATGGAAGCACCGCGATTCCCGATTCTTCGCCGATAAGATTAGTGTTTCGCGAAATGGTTCGAAGTTCAGAGCGGTGCAATCAAGCGGTCGGAGAGGTTATTCAGCGGGCCGACAGTGAAAAGGGTAAATTAGGAATTTCACTGGAGAAGTTCTGGATACAGCCTGGCCATCTTTAAAATAATGATAAAATATTTATTTAATAATATTTAGTTAAAAAATAAAATCGAATAAAACTATATATTAAGTTTTTTTAATTAATTAACATAATATTTTTTCAATTTTTATATTTGTAAAAAAAATATATCTTATACAATTTATTAAATATTAACATTATTATTTTTCATAGTTAAGACAAATAATTGTTAGGTATAATTACCCATATGACAAATATAAATATATTACTGTTCACTCATTTTTTATATATATTATATATTTAATTAAAAACCACCATAAATATTTAATTGTATATTACATATTTAAATCATAACTAAAATTATCTTTGAATTTTAGTTATGTGAAATAAAATTATTTTTAAACCGAATTTTTACCTATAAATATATCCTTGTGATGAACTAAACTTACCTTGAATATTACTTTTTAATTCAAATTTAAATTAAATATAGAATATTTATTCTCATCTTTAAGCTAATATTTAAAATATCTTCTTTGTACTTAATTTTTATATATTTTAAAAATATTTTGTAGTTAAAAATAATGATAAAATAAAAATAAATGTATAAATATGTAAAAAGTAATCAATTCAGTATATAAATGATTGTTTCATAAAGTATATTGTAACATCCCGAGTCCAGAATTTAAGCTTGAAATGATTTAAACAAGTTTTGACCGAGAACCGGCCAAAAATGACCTGACTAAGGGAGGAGTCGCTGGAGAAGAAAGACCCGACGGCAGAGCACGACGTTGTCGCCGCACCGGAACCCCAACCTGACCCCTGGGTGATATTTTTTTTTATCTTTTTGGCTATTTTTTTTTTGCATATTTTCATACTATTTTGACGTACATTTGGAAAAAGTAGGAAAATTCAACAAATCTAAGAATCGAGAATTGCCAGATACTGCAGTGAAAAAGACGGTATTTTGGACACCGATTCACGGTAAGAATTTCTCAACTATTTTTTCTCTTATGGTTAAATTGAAGCTAAACTGATAATAAATAAAAATTTTAGTTAATCTATAGTCCTTTAATTGATTAAAGTACAGTTTACCAATGGAGTAACTAACCGGTTCGTTTGTGTTTGTTTTGAGTTTTAATTGTAGTAATTATTTCTTCAGTTGTTTATTATACTTATCTATTCACTGTACTGCTTACTTTAATGCATTTGTTTTAATTCTACGACGAACGTAATAAAGTTTCTTAATTTATGTTGTCTTGTTATTTTC